AATGAAAAGTGAAGGATCGATCTTATGCATCAAGCCCGGGACGGCTTCGCTATGAGAATTAACATATAAATGTAGCATCCGTCTTTCCCCCGGTCCTGCTGCTGAGTAAATGCGTGAGGACAGAATGAATCACAGACACCGAGCGTGCCGGAGTCGGCTCCATTTGTCAGGGACGCACGCCACATTCACCCAGAGCCTGCTTTCTGGGGGCCAGACAAATGCTCTCAGGATGCACCCCACCCCGCCTGGGGACCCTGGGAAGATGAGGCCCTGAAGCGCCAGCCCCCGTCATATTTCACTGCGGCCCCTCCCACCCTCTCCGTCCGGTCCTCTCTGGTTTTATCCACTTTAAAGGTCCTTGGGCACTGTCTCCACCCACCCATCCGCCAGTGGAGGCTGGAGTTCTGCCTGCTGTGCCCTCTGGATCCCAGCGGGGCTTCCAGACGAGGGTAGAGGAGGGGGTAAGGATGGAGACTGTCCAACACCAGCCCATGAAAATCCTGTGGTCACTAAGATGAGACCAATTGGTCAACGGTGACTTTAAAGGGACAGTGAGCATGAAGGGAGTCAGGACACGAGATTCATGGAAAGGCCCCAGAAGGGAAACCAGGAGGCTGTGCCCACCCGGTGAGGCGTGCCAGCCAGGTCACTGGGTGACATGTGCAGAAACAGCCAACCAGAGGGCAACCTCGGGGGAGGGGGGTGGCGGGAGTGAGCCTTCACTGAAAACACAGTGTCTGCAAAATAAATAAATAAAATAACCCCCTCACGGCCATCGCCTCCATGCCGACCCATGTGGACTCTCGGTAAAAGGGTAGAACTGCCCCCTCTGGATTCCCAAGACAGTCACTCTTTAGGGGAGTAGAAAGCCTGTCTTTCTCCCGCGGAGAGGTTCGTGGTTTCAAACTGCTGACCTCGTGGCTAGCAGCCCAGCTCGTAGCCACTCCTCCAGCAGGGCTCGGGGAAGCATATAGGTCAGTGTCACTGCCGAGGTGCCGAGCTGATGACAACACACACTCATGCAGGGCCCTCAAGTCCACCCCCACTCACCTCCACCGCGCAGGACGGCGGACGGGGCCAGCCCTGTGGGTCTCTGAGGCTGCCGATCTTGGCTGAAGCAGAGAGCCTCGTCTGGTTCCTGGCCTATCACCATAACCCACGATGCCACCAGAGCCTCACAGCATTGTGGGCACTGAGGCGACTACAGAGGCCCGAGTGGGTGAAAATGGCATGGGCTTGACCGTTCCCTTGAAGGCTGGCAGTTCAAACCCGCTTAGCCGTGTTGCAGAAGAAAGGCCGGGAGCCTGGGACTGCCAGGGTGGCAGTCGAGAAGGAACCGTCTGATGGAGTCTGCTCTGTGACACGTGGGCTCGCCCTTGAGCATTACAATGACCTTCCCCGGCCGCTCTGGCCACAGCATAAGGTTCCTGCTCATATGGCGCTGTCTGGCAAGAGCTGGGCTGGTCGGTAGGTGGTTCATACTCCCCTGGGAACTCCCACCAATGAGTGGCTGGGACTATGCAAATCGAGTGATTTGTGGTCTACCAGGGGATTGGCCAGTGCGTTGTGCAAACGGATGGACTGTCGGATCTCAAAGAGAATTGAGCGTTGTTTGGTGGTCCTGGGGGGAGGGCCATGTCTGGACATTGACAGGGCATGTTCTTACCTGGGGGTGGATCCCACAGAGATTCACAGGGTGCCGCTCCCGTCAAGCAGAACTGTGGGGCCGAGTGTGTCTTGTGGACTCTGTCCCTGTGCCGAGAACCTGCTAGACCCAGAAGTGAGAGCTGTGAGGAGACAGCCTCACATCTCTCCTGAGGAGTGGCTAGTGGGAGGGAGCCACTACCTTTCCATCTGCCACGACACGTAACCCACTGAGCCACCAAAGCTTCTAAAGAACAGTCCTTCACCTGGAAAAAAAATCCCTTGAAGAGTTCTCATTCCAAAAGTGTGTCCAACGGAAGTAGGGTCATCTTTTACATTCTTCTGTTACCCCGAGCCCTGAGCAAGGGTGGGGGTGGCCAGTGTCAGCCCTTGAGCTCCAGGTGAGGAATGGGCTCCCTCAGAACGAGGATTTTTCCCTCCTTCCTGGAAGGGCAGAGGTTTCAAGACATGTCCCTGCACGGCCAGCCCAGGGCCTGCCCTCTGCATCTGGGCAGGGAGCTGCTGTCACCCACATGCTCCCGCACTGCCTCTTTCTGACGCACAGCCTGCAGTGCCGCCCCAACAAGTCCCCTTTGAGCCCTTGGAAGGAGAAAAACAAGAAGTCAGAGAGCCCAGGCGCCCTGAGGGACGGCAAGAAAACTCATTTCAGCAAACGGCTGAGAAAGACGCTGCCCGGACAGCAGCCCCCAAATCACTCTGATGAAGGAACGGGGGGAAAACACCCCAAATGTCAATGTTCTCTTGTCACCTGCCCCTCAAGTCATATGGACACGTCCTCCAGGAGAGACGGAGGGACGCCGAGACTGCCTTCTGAGCAAGTTTGACTTAGTCAACAGTAAAACTATTGTCTGGGGGGGGGGGGCCCTTGTGACAAAGCAGCACTGCACCCCCTGCCTGCACCCCAGTTTTCTAAGCTGTCGTCCCTAACAAGGCCTGGTGGCACAATGATTAAGCTCAGTGGGTAGGGCTGGCAGCCACCCGCTGCTCCAGCAACCAGTGGGAGAAACAGGAGGCGTTCTACTCCCCCAGCTGCGGTCTAGAGAGCCCACAGGGGCACCTCTACTCTGTCCTGCGCAGCGGCTCTGAGTCGGAATTGACTAGAGCGAGTTGGGTTTTTGCTCTTCAGTGTCACTGGAATGTCCTTTCTGTTTGTTTGCCGGTTGCATGCAAGGCACCCTGGTAGCAGAGTGGTTAAGCATCAGGCTGCCAACTGCAGGGCCAGCAGTTGGAAACCACCAGCCGTTCTGAGGGAGAAAGACGAGGCTTTCTACTCCCGTAAAGCATTGCAGTCTCAGAAACCCATAGAGGCGGTTCTACTCTGTCCAATAGGGTCGCTGTGAGCCGGAACAGACTCCCTGGCCGTGGGTTGGGTTGGCTTCTGGGCTAGGTTATCTTTACAGAAGACCACCAGGACTCTCTCCTCTGGGTCTTTGGTGCTTTTGAACCCAAACTTTCAATGGGCAGCCAAGCCCTTTACCAAGGGGCCACCAGGGCCCTTGAACGCCAAGAGTGACCACTGCGTCCTTTCTCCTCGTCGGCGGATGTGCTCAGGGCCTGACTCCCCTTCCGCCCAGGAGCGCAGGACCTTGGTCCTGTTTCAAGTGTCTGTTTCCTGCTGGACACCCGCCCCCCACTGCTTGCTTTGGGCTCTGGGCAGAGACTCTAGCAAACCCCCTACCACTGCCATCTGATCGACCCCAAGCCTCAGTGGCCCATGGGTGTCAGAGCAGAGCTGGGCTCCACGCGGTTGTCAGCCATCTCCCCCTTTCAGACGCAGGTCACCAGGCCTTTCTTCCAAGGCACCTCTGGGCAGATGCTAACCATCAACCTGCTGGCTCCTCAGCGGTCAAGCACTTCACCAATGTCCCCAACAAGTGGGAACCCATGTGTTGGAATTGTTTATGGCAATGGGGCCCTAGATAATTCTAGAATGAGACCTCAGCAGCCCCTCTAAATGCAGCCTCTTGCTCCATTCGGCCACCCACCTTTCTAGGAAGGGCTCCTGGTGGGTGGTGGGTTAGGTGCTGACCTCCAGCACCACCTCAGCAGAGACACGGCTTTCTACTCTCAGAAACCCCCGGGGTTTCTGTCCTACAAGGTCACTGTGAATTGGGGTTCACTGATGGCAGGGAGTGAGCTTGGTATGAGTTAGTTGAGTGCCAAGGAGCCCCGGTGGCCTAGTGGGTTAGGTGTCCACCAGACAAGCCTCAGAGAAAGACAAGGCTCTCTACGCCTGTAAAGAGTTAGTCTTGGAAACCCACATGGGCAGTTCTACCCTATGGCCCTACAGAGTCACTATGAGCCAAAATTGACCTGTTGGCACTGACTTGAGTTTGGCTTGATTTAGTGCTGAGAAGCCCTGGTGGCATAGTGGGTTAAGTGTTAGGCTGCTAACTGCAAGGTGAGCAGTTCAAAACCACCAGGCACTAGGTGGGAGAAAGATGAGGCTTTCTTCTCCCACAAAGAGTTGGTCTCGGAAACCCACAAAGGCCGTTCTACCCTGTCCTGCAGGGTCACTCTGAGTTGGAACCACCTGGAGGCAGTGGGTGTGGTCTGTCGGTTGGTCTCCTTCTAGCAGGCTTGGTGACCCCTGGTCCCCGGCTCCCATCAGAAGTGCCACCCTCCATGGGGCTATTCTCAGGGGCCTTTTCCCTAGGCAGAAAGGACAGAGGCCGGCTTCCTCGCATGAGTTTATTTTGTTCTCTCTGGGGTCCTTTAGCATGCTACAGGAACCTGACAGAGCTTACTGGTGTGTTATGACACAAGACACAGCATGCAGTTCACAGCGGCGGCTGGGCTGACACAGACAGTCCACGCCCGGCCAGGCGGCCAGGCCCGGAGCAGCTGCTCCCTGCCAGCTGTCCCAGCTGAAGGAGGAGGGTGGACACTTCACTGGACTCCACGGTGCAGTCTCTTTTCAAAACGCCAAGAGGACGGCCTGCCCTGTTTGGCCACTGGGCCACGGGCCACTGCCGGTTCGGAGGCCCCCTCTGGGAGGAAATGGCATGCAATTGGACGGTCGTCGCATGGAACTTCCAGGTGGCACGGAGGAGTGGGGTCGAGCCCCAGCTCTCCCTCCTCAAATACAGCGCCCGTGGGACCCCGAGTCCCCACATCCCACACCCACCAGCGATGGGGCATTTTAATTAAATAAGTTATGGGATGGATTCCCCTCATGACTTTATTGCTAACGGGTAGACAGGAGCACAGTCATTTTGTCAGAGAAGAGAGGGGACTCCACAGAGGAGGAGCCCAGGGTTTAAGGGCTCAGCTGGGAGGCCTGGTCTCCCTCCCTCCCCTCCCTACCCCTCAAGCCCCCAGGTCGGTGGGGTGTGTTAGGAGGGGGTGTTGAGGATCCGGGAGTCGGCGGAGTCGGCTCGGTCCTCGTACTCGTCCTCGGTGTAGATGGCCTGCTTGGACACGAGGGGACAGCCGTCCTCGGGGAGGGAGATGCGGGGGTCCTCGGCCGGCCGGCTGGGGAGGACGGGAGAGTTCCGGAAGACGCCCTGCGAGCTGCCCGCGAAGGGGCCGACGTACTGGGGCCTCAGCTGGTACTGCTGCTGCAGGGTCATGGTGTTCCAGAGGGTGACGTCGTTGGGCAAGAAGGGGCTGGACTGGCTCCGGGCCAGCGTGTTGCGCAGCATCAGCGGGTAGCGGGGCGGCTGGGGGAAGGGGTGCTGCAGGGGCACGGCCAGGGGGCTGGGCACCACGGCGCTGGAGTCTCCCGAGAAGCGCAGCGTGTCGGGGACCCGGAAGGCAGAGCCCACCGACCACTTGGAGGAGGAGATGGGGTAGGAGCTCAGGGTGTGTTCGAAGATGTGCCCGTTGGGGGGCAGGACGAGGCTCTCGGGGTCCGAGGCAGTCCGCTCGGCCCCGGCGACGGAGGACCGGCTGGACAGGAGGACTTCGACGGCGCTGACCAGGTCCCCCCCGCAGCCCTTGAGGATGAGCTCCAGCACGGTGGGCTTCTGGGCGGGGAAGATCTTCTTCAGGACCTCCAGCGGGGGCCTGTTGGCCTTCAGGCTGAAAGGCAGGGACACGGTCCCCGAGGGCCCCTCGATCAGGAGGTGGCTCTGCTCCGTGAGGTACTTGGGGCTCCCCGGGCGGCTCTCGGGGGCCCCGCCGTTCTTCTGGGCAGCGTACCCGCCGCCCTCGTCCACAGACACCACCTCGGGGCTCTCCGAGGCCAGGCAGCCCTTGGCCACCTCTGGGGAGCCGCTCTGCTCCGCGTCTTTGTCGCTGAAGCCCTCCGCGCTGTCGCTGGTGGCGGAGCCATCGGCGGAGGGATTTTCTTCGGCCAAATCTGAAATAGAAAGGCAGGGGGGTCAG